CTCCTACATAAGAAGAGACCCTTACATAGATTTCTTCTGAAAACTTAAGCTAAAACCTTTTCCCAAAAATCTAAATTAACTGTTCCATGAAAGGGAACTAGGCATCACTGAGTACAACTGCAGAGCATGTGGCCATGAGCCTCCCAACAAACTTGGGCTTGTGATGCTAGTGCTCTTTAAAAAAGCTACATAGGGAACTCTCCATAGGCCTCAGAGCTGGAACTGCAAATTCATAGCGCTGTCTCTGCAGCTATTTGTAGAGTGCTGGGATGATCCTTATAAGCTCCAGTCTGTCGACCAGGGATGGGAGACTCATTAGCCTTGGCTGTGTAGATGTGTGGATACCTCAGTGAAGACCTCTGCTTAATATGCACCCGTGATCAAAAAGGTAGATAAGAAGTTAGGATGTATAAGAAATGGCATAGAGAATAATATGGAAAAAAATGCCATTATGTGAATCAGTGGTGTGGCTTCATTTGGGATATTGCATGTAGTACTTGTCACTTCATCTCAAAAAGGATATAGCGTAATTAAAGGGCATTCAGAAGGATGATGAGACTAATTTTGGGGCATGGGAAAATTCACATGAAGACACTGAAAAGACTGGGATTGTGTCCCTTAGAAAGGAAAGATAAGAGGAAGTGTGATCGTAGGCAGAGCTGGTGTTACTGCTCATGCTTCAGGTTGCCCAATTCCCATTTTAATGCAGTGTTTACACTTGCGTATAATGTTGCTGAACTTTAACTATTCAGGTTAAAATTTCCCATGTCAGTTGTCTGCTTCAAGCTGAAGTTTTGGGAAAGTTTGAGCTAAAATGGTACAGCCATTTCCAAGAACAAGGTTAGGGAATACTAGACACTGTTTTGCCCATGTTCAACAAAATTCTTGCCACTGTTCATTGGAGCGCTAACATCTCCATGCTTTGGAGCAGGGACTTGAAATTTGGCGGGGAGGGGAGCAGTCTCCTGAGTGTCAGGGATGTGCCTATTGCATCTCTGTGAAAATTGAGATTTTTTTTCATATGGTCAGTGGTCAGCTAGTCAGTTTTGCACCTAAATTCTTCAGAGTCCAGCTGTACCAAGCGTGCTTTCTCCCAGGGCTGCGGGGGCTGAGAAGTACTTTCCCTTTAATTGCTCCTCCCTGCTGCTCTGGGAGCAACTGTGGTACTGGGCACAGGAACTGAGCAGGGAGACTTTCTCCTGTACTCTGTGGTCAGAGGTAGCACTGGTAGAGCCAGGTAGTTTGGAGGAGTAGGAGGAAGCAGCCACACTGGAATGCAGAAAGGGGTCTGAGGGGAGGGTTGCAAGAGTCAGTGGGTGGGGGTAAGCACAGGAGGAGGAGGAAGATAGAAGCCAGTTAGGGTTGGGGAGGAGTGGAAGGGGGCTGGGGTTTATTATATAGGTTCAGAAGGGAAGGGGGACAGAAGCCACAGGTAGTGGATTGGAGCAGAGCGGGACAGGCAGAAGGGTCTATAACAACGTTTTTCAGATTCAGCCACTAGGGGCTTTTCTTGCAGCCATAGCCTCCTGGAAGGTGATGGGGGTGTGGGAGGGTGAAGCAACTGCCTGTCCCCCTGGCCTGCCAGCAGGGGTTGGGCCCTGCCCCCTTCTGGAGCCAGAAACACCTGAAGAGCAGGCAGCCGGTGTGAGTTTTCCGCCTTCCTAAGGGCAGTGGGGTCAGGCTCCCGGCTTCAGGCCTAGGGTGGTGAGTGGCAGGCTCTGGTTGTGGGGCTTCAGGATCCAGCTACGCAGTGGCGGGCTCCATCCCCTGGCCCTGGTCTCGCCACTCCCCCCATCGCCCATGGCCCCCGCTGCCTCCTCTGGCCCTGGGCTTCAGCCACGCAGCGGTGGGTTCTGTCCCAGGGCTTCGGCCCCAGGGCTTCGGCCCCAGCCACACGGCAGCAACTGCTAGCCCTGGGCTCACCACCCCTACTCGTCACCCCAGTCCCCGCTGCCTCCTCTATCCCCAGGCTCTGGCCATGCGGCGGTGGGCTCCAGGCCCCAGCATCATGGTGCTGGGCTCCAGTCATGAGACCCCAGGATCTGGCCATCGTCCCTGGCTCCCCACTGCGTCCTCTGGCCCTGGGCTTTGGCCGCACCTCAGCAGGCTCCAGTCCCCAGCTTCAGGCTCAGGCCTGGGCCCCAGGCTTTGGGCATTGGGCCTGGGCTCGCCACCTCCCCCACATTGCTGCTGGCCCCTGCTGCCCCTACCGGTCCCTTACCCACCTGCACCCCGGGAACGGGGAACTGCGGCCAATGGGAGCTTTGGGGGAGGTACCTGAAGGAGCACCAAGAGCAGCACATGGCGCCATTTCCCCACACATGCTCCCAGGGACTCTGGAAGCTTCCTGGAGTGGAGCGGAACAGAGCGGGGTCAGGGGCCAGGGCAGGCAGGCAGTGAGCCTGGCCGCAGCGTGCGGCGCTGCCACTCCAGATTCACACTAGGTAAGCGGTGCCAGGCCGGAGCCCACACCCCACACCCCTCCTGCACCCCAACCCCCTGCCCGGAGCCCCCTGCTGCACCCCTCACCCCTCCTGCACCCCAACCCCTGCCCTGAGCCCCCTGCCACACCCTGCACCCCAATCCCCCTGCTGCACCCCTCTTGCACCCCAACCCCTTGCCCGGAGTTCCCTGCCACACCCTGCACCCCAACCCCCTGCTGCACCCCTCACCCTTCCCTCACTAGGCAGCTGTTCTCTTCTGAGAACAAGACCAATCGAGGTGATGGAGAGGATTCTGTATGGTACCCATTTGTGTGCTTCTCATATTGAGGCTCTGTCAGAGAAATCCAGGCATGCATGGGTCCAAGCTCAGTGACTTTAGCATCTAACAGTTTCCTGAAGTCAGTGCTTGTCTTCTTTTCTTATTATGGGATTAGGGCACAAGGAGATGAGATAAACTTTCCAAGTATATGAACAAGGTGACTCTGACAATTAACTTTTATTTTGTTTATATTATTCTTGTGACATTGTGCAGTCTATATGGTTTTATAAAAATATGGTAATGAGTGAATATAACATAACTGAATATGCTTCATGCAAAAGGTCTCTTGTAAGGTATCATTACAAAGCTTATAATCTACTGAGTGTGATCATCCTATTTGTATAAATGTACCACTCTTGTATCTGAAACTAGAAATATGAAATATAACTCTGAGGGCCTATTGTAATTATGCAAAGTGTGGGCCATTAATGGTGGTTTGGAATGGCTCCCATCAACCAGGAGAATTGACTGGGGCTCTGTTTGCAAGCAAGCCTTCCTGTGAGTCAGGCTGGGAGGAATGAAGGCTTGGGGTCCTGTAGTGACATGTGATCATGTCACATGAACTGGAATCCATCTTTAACCTGGTGCTTTTCCAGTGAGGGGAGGTGGAAACCCAGAGAGAGACAAAGGATTCCCGCCTTATGCAAAAGATATATAAAGGGGTGGAACAGAACAAAGAGGAGAGGAGCCATCATGAAGAATCCCCTAGCTACCACCTGAGCTGCAACAAGAGCTGTACCAGGGGAAAGAATTGTGCCCAGGCCTGGAAGGTGTCCAGTCTGAGGAAAAAACTTACTGAAGCAT